GGTTCAAATCAGAGGAGGGTTTCTCATTTTCCGATAAATTAAGAGCTTATAGATCTGCTATAAGCTCGTGGAAAAGGGACCGGTGAATTCCCGTGATAAAGCTGCTCAATTGGAACAAGAGCTGAAACATGAGCAATCGGCAAATTATCCGAATCTAGCCCAAGTCAGGCGTATGAAGTGGGAATTAAGGATAGCGTATAAGGAAGAAGAATCCTTTTGGAGGCAGAAAAACAGAGTTAAGTGGCATAGGCATGGAGACCTTAACTCAAAGTTTTATCATGCTGCTGTAAAATTCAACAGGAATAAGATGAATCTGGAGCTGCTGGTGGATAACAATGGGGTAGAGCAGAGGTGAGAAGCCGCTAAAGGAGGGGTGGCGGCAGACTATTTCAGTGTGCTTTTTGAATCCTCGAACCCTCTCCTTTTGACTCTTGGTTCCAAGGGTTTCAACAGAGGATCTCTGAGGAGACGAACACAGAGCTGATCAATCCAGTGTTAATGAAGGAAATCAGAGAAGCTGTCTTCTCCATCACAGTGTCGAGTGCTCCTGGGCCGGATGGTATGACATGATTGTTTTTTTAGCATTATTGGAGCATTGTTGGAGAGAAAGTAGTGGAGGAGGTCTAGCGATTCTTTGTGGATGGGGTCTTCCCTAAGGAATGGAACTACACTCATATGTATCTTCTTCCAAAGATCACTAACCCCTCCATGATGGCTGACCTTAGACCGATAAGTCTATGTTCAGTCTTGTATAAGATCGTCTCAAAAATCTTAGTGAAGCGCCTGAAGTCCTTCTTGTATGACATTATCTTTGTGAATCAGTCTACGTTTGTGGCTGACATACTCATTTCTGATAACATTGCTATTGCTCATGAACTAGTTCATGTTTTACGTGTTCATGGTAAGATTTCAGCAAACTTCATGGCTGTCAAACAGGATATGTCAAAGGCGTATGATAATGTGAGTGGAGTTATTTGAGAGCTTTGCTGGTAGTCTTGGAGTTCCATGATAAGTTGGTGAGTTGGGTTATGTTTTGTGTGTCCTCAATATCTTTCTCGGTTATCAACAATGGCAATCCGCATGGTTTGATCATGCCTCAGAGTGGACTAAGACAAGGAGACCCCTTATCTCCTCTTCTTTTCATGATTTGTACGGAGGGTTTAACACATCTCTTGAACAGAGCTGAGAGAGAGGGTCTCCTAAGTGGTATTCGCTTCTCGGAGACTAGACCAGCGTTCATCTTTTGTTTGCAGATGATAGTTTATTCTTGTGTAGAGCGAATGAGCAGCAAGCTGATGTCTTGAGGTAGATTCTCAGAAGACACGGCGAGGTAACAGGACAAACCATCAATTTGGAAAAATCTTCAATATCGTTTCGCTCAAAAGTTACAGTTAACTCCAGGGTGAGCATTCAGCAAGTCTTGCAAATCTGTAGCGAAGGAGGGGCAGGCAAGTACTTAGGTTTACCTGAATGCTTTAGCGGTTCAAATATTAAAACGTTGGGCTATATCAAAGATAGAGTTAAATCGAGGTTGTCTGGGTTCTATGCAACAAAACTGTCTCAAGGTGGCAAAGAAATATTGTTGAAATCTGTGGTCACGGCCATACCGGTCTTTGCAATGACGGTTTTTTAAGCTCCCTAAATCGGTTTGTGCCAACATCACAAGTGCTATGGCAGAGTTTTGGTGGAGTATGGTGGAGCATAAAAGTAAGATTCATTAAGTTAGTTAGGACAATATGTGTCTGCCCAAGGCTCAGAGAGGAATGAGATTTAAAATATTGAGTTTTTCAACCAAGCACTTCTGGCCAAGCAGGCTTGGAGAGTCCTTCATGATCCGATGTGCCTTTTATCTCAGGTCTTGAAAAGTATTTACTTTCCAGAGGGAGATTTCCTGGGGGCCTCTATTTCTTATCGACCATTCTTTGTGTGGCGTAGTCTTTTGCATGGGAGAGATCTTCTAGTACAAGGCTTGCGTCTTATGGTTGAGAATAGTAGCTCTATAAGTGTATGGATGGACCCTTAGCTTGACATTGATAGAGGGTGGGCTCCGTGGAAAAGAAATATAGTCTATGATCTTAACCTCAAGGTGGACTCCCTCATCGATGTTTCAACTATAATGTGGTGTACTCGGATTGTAGATGATTTCTTTGTCCTTGAGGATATTTGCACAATTCTTAAGAAACCTCCGATGGCACTTTTAGATGATTTCTGGAAATGGAAATTCAACAAGAGTGGTGAGTACTCGGTAAAATTAGGGTATTGAATGATCTTAAATATCCAGAATGACGATTTAATTAGGCTCCAGATGATGCTTCTCTCTCTGAGCTGCCTGAAACAACATGTGTGGAGTTTAAAAACTGCGCCTAAGATCAAACAATTTTTGTGGAAACTGATCTATGGAGCTTTACCGATGGTTGAGGCTATCTAAAAGAGGGGGTGAATGTGGATACCAAATGCGATTTATGTGGCTATGAAGGCGAATCGATTGATGTTTTTTTCTAACGTGTGCTGGCAAGACAAATTTGGACCCTTTCTCACATTCCATCGCCGAGGTTAGGTTTTGTCATGTCCTTATGCCAATTTTATCATCTCATCTTGTTGGAAAAGTCTGTTCTCGTCCTATTTGAAATCAAGCGTTGTTTTCCTTGGATTTTGTGGTACATTTGAAAAAATAGAAACTCATACTTGTTTGAAGGAAATCTATTCTCGTATGTGGAGACGATGGAGAAGATTTTGGATGAGATAAATTGCTGGTTTATGGCCCAAACGGTGTCCATGATTGACAAGTTTCAGGACCATGAGGTTGTGTCTGTGGAAACTACTCGATGGAGACCTCCTCCAAAACAGTGACTAATTTTGGATGTTGGTGCAATTTGGTCTAAGTAAAAAAGGATGGAAGGAATGGCGTGAGTGGTTAGAGATTGGAAAGGGAGAGTGTTGCTCCATAATCATAGGGCGTTTACAGGTGTTGATATTCTGGATTATTGCTATTTCTTGAGCTTGGTATGGGTTGTCGAAAGCATGCATAGTCATAAGATTATAAATGTGGTATTCAATTCCGAGTCATGGGATCTAGTGAGAGCGATTAAAAGGCCTTGTGCTTGGCCTTCTTTTGCGTATCAGATTTCTGAGCTTCGGGTTTTGTTGTCGCGCTTGGTGGAGTGGGATTTGTCCATCGTTGGACTGTCTGTTATTAGAGGGGCTCGTCTCATTGCTAAAAGTATTACGTTGGAGATGAAACTTCAATCCTACGTAGCAAGTGGTGCTCCTCGGTGGCTCAAGGATGTCTTTGATGATGAGAGAGTTTTATCTTCTGATTAGGAGTTTTGGTTTTTAAAGATAGTGAAGTTGTTCTGGGTTTTAATAACTGCTCTGTTCTTCCCAATTGTTTAGTAAATTTTTGTTCGCAGAGCTTTGTTTCTCTTCTCATAGTTTACTGATTCCTCTCTGTAATTGTTTCATTTTGTTTTTATAATATTACTCAGATAACAAAAAAAAAGAGTAAATTTAAGATCTAACACAAAATCAATGACATTGACTATTACTTAAATAGAGACTTCAGATACTAGAATATAATCAACATGTTAATCTAATATTAATTATAATATTTAATAAAGAAGTATCATAATGAATCTAAATCTCATATATCATGAATCAACAAATAGAATTAACCAAATCTAATTCATCATCTCTATCTCTAGATTCTAAAAGAAATACTCACTAATCATATGAAATCCAATAGATCTCTTGTTATATTAGAAATCATTGATTAGATATAAAGAAAATGAATTAAAAGAAATAAATTTTAAATTGCATAAACTATAAAAAAGTTTCTTACAAAAATATTTTTTTTTTCAAAAATGAAAAACAAACATTAAACAAAAGCAAAGATAATAAAAAAAAATTAGCTTAATCGGAACAAACTGGGTATTGACTTGGTCAAAGTGGGTATTGACCAGGCCCATTCCGATATATATATGTTGATATTTTCTCTGTCAAATTCATATCGGCTTACCCATCCCGATAGGCTGCAGATGATTCCTTATAAATTCGTATTGGCATGCTTTCTTTGATATTTGCAACTTGCAAGTCGATATCTTTCTGTTGAATTTGTATTGGCTTGCCCATCCCAATGTGGCTGATATGGTTGCAGACAATTCTTAAAACTTCATATCGGCATGCTCTCCTCCATATGCAAGGCGATGTCTTTTGCATCGATTTTCCCTCCTCGATATGCATTCTGCTATTTTCTCTGGTGTTTTTGCATCGACTTGCCCTCCTTGATATGCATCCTAATATGGCTTTAAACGTCTTCTCTTGCTTCATCTCAAACACTTATTGGTCCTTGCTCATCTACTAAACTCCAATAAGATTTTATAGTCTCCAAAGTATTTAGAAAACATTCCAAAGATTCCAATATATAATATCTAGGCTAAGACTCGCTAAACTCTAAAAAAATGCAAACAAAACCGACGCTATCAAATAATGCACAAAAAAATATAAAAACTATCCTAAATAAATGTAAGAATGATGTAAAAAATACAATTATCAGTCCTGCTCTCCATGATGGTTCTGCTCATTTAGATATAACCATGTAAATGTAAAACTATTTTACAACTTCTGTTAACATATATTATGGCAAATCTTATAAGATCAGTTAAAAAAAAAAAAAAAAAAAAAAACATGTTTTCACAATAATACTTCGACAATTACAAACCAATAAAATAAGAAAAAAAAAGACAAAATTGTAACACAAATTCTACTTATCACATGGGAATTCATCTAGTGATGATAAAATTTAAACAAATATGTTCTCTATTTGTTTCATGGGTAACTATAGTATATGACCTTATATATTATACACCATGTATTCAATACATAAAATCTGTAAAAAATGAAGTAATTTTACTTTTATAACTAAGAGATTTTAGACTAAAGCCAAAGTTTTGATTGGTGACATCATTAACGCTTAATTTTTTGTAGTTGTATTGTATATATAGCTCAGAATTACTACCAATCATGTAACAGTTTTAAGTCTTTTGCATTTGGGTTTATTTTTTCCCCAACATACTGTTAGTTGTTGATTAGAAGAAAAACAACAATAATTTTGCTATCAGCTGATAAAATTATACATTACAGCGAGTATGTTTGTTAGAAAAAAAGGACATGTAGTTTGAGAGTCCATATCCTTAGTGAGAGAAGCCATGGATAAATAATAACCAAAGCTTCTTCAACACTGTGATTGATGTTGAATCTTGAATTGTGGGTTCTTGTCTTCTTAGCCGTAGAAATCGATCTCTGCCTTCTTCAGCACGCATGAAACTTTTTCAAAAAACTCTATTTCTGTTTCCTTCACTTCCTCAATAGTCTTAGCTTCATGTTCATCCGCCTGTTACAACAAAACATCATAACTCAAAATGTAACAAGAACCATACCAAATTGCTGAACTCACATAATGATTCCAAGCTATTATCATTATTATAAAAAAAAAACCAAACCTCTTTAAACTTCAAAAGAATCAAGTTTGTGACTGATGCTGTCTTCTTTGCATCCCATCTGATTATATCATCAATTCACATTATGAGACCGAGAAAATTAATCTAATCTCTTCGAGTTACCATTGAACATACCTTAAGAGCATCAACTCATTCATGGCTCGCCACATTCCTCTCCCAACATCTTTTGCTGTCTCATCTCTAGCACTTCGTCCGTGCCACAACTCTTTCACTATGTACTTCACTTCCTCAACATCTACCTACAGAAAAAAAGAAAAAAAAGATCAAATATAATCATTCTCAGGATATCACTGAGGCCAATCTGAATACCTGGACTTCTGCAGATGTGCCATAAACTGTCTCCTCATGCTCAATAAGGCGTTGATGAAGCAATCGGTAATGATCCAAATCAAGATTTACGATAGGCTCCATCGAAACTTGCACACCTGCAAGCTGTGTTATTACATAGGACGCCATGATTTGTCCAAAAATAGCCGGGATGGTTCCAAGAACAGGGATTATCCGGACACGAAAGCCAGGAACCACCTGAAAGAAAATCACAAGCGATCTATAAGATCAATGTCTAGTGTCAAAGAGAGTGGATGTAGTCATGTAGCTGAATATTAGTTACTTGATAATCTGAAGGATTCTCGTCTTCCCCATTAGTCCCCTTAAAGGGGAGCAGCTTCGCCTTTGGCTTTTCCAGTGAAAACACGACGGGAATGCCTCCTTCAATGCCATGTTCTCTCCTCAGTCTGTGTCTTACCTGAAGAATCAAGAACCATAAACATTTCATAACATTCTTTCAATAGAGGTAAAGAGTTTCGAGGTGTTACAGTCTTACAGATCGAGACAACGGGTCGATTGTGGATTCTCTTAAATCAGCCACTCTGATTCTTGTTGGGTCAGCTCTAGCACCCGCACCAGTCGCACTCAGAACTTTCAAACCCCTCTGAACACAAGCAGCCAAAAGTCCCACCTAATATATATATATATATATATATATATGTATCAGTGTGTGCATCAAAGCTCTATAGGAGACAGTTCAGTTCAGGTCCAACAAGAAAAGGCACCTTTGTGTCGATGTTGTCAATGCAGTCCAAAACGAAATCCGGGTTGCCCGAAAGAACTTCTTCTTCCGAAGATGAGTCATACAGCAACACTTTAGCTTCTACGCAGCATTCGGGAAAGATTGAAGAGAAATGCTTCTTGAGACAAACAGCTTTCGGGATACCAACATCTGCTCGTGTTGCAACAGCGTGTCGGTTCAATGATGAAAGAGACACCTTCTCATGTAATCGAAGAATAAGTGAATGAACATGCAATTTTGTGTGAACCAGACCGTATAAATGAAGCCGAACAGTACCTGGTCAAAGTCAACAAGGAGGAGCTTCCCAACACCTGACCTCAAGAGCATAGATGCAGCATGACTCCCTACACCTCCAAGTCCAATGACCACAACATATGATCCAGTTACTTTACGCTGAGCTTCAATACCGAAAAACTGGATGTTCCTAAAGAGAAGAATCGGCATAATTAACATCAGGTTACGTTGCTTAATAACCTCAGCACAAGAAGATTCACACATCAAAACAATAGTGAATTTAACAAGTGTAAAAGAAGATTCCTTTTGAGCCTTTTTGCTTGCCCCTTTCTCACAGTCTCCTAGCAACTTGTACAAAACCAATACTTTAAGAAATATCGTAGCTTTATGTCTCTCTAGTGTCAGCTAAAGACCTATTGGTATCACTCAAAGTTATCCAAAACAACATATCATTGCTATGAAGATTCAAGATATTCCTAAAGATCAGACAAATCAGTATATAATTTCAGAAAGATCATAGCTTTGAGTATCAGCTACCGTTTTTCAAGAAAATTTGCAACGCAGAGTGGTCCAGGACAATCAATTCACTGAGATTAAGACACCAAAACGAAAACAAAATGTACCTGGTTAAATGTTCCGAAACAATCTCATCTGTCAGAAGATCCTGACCAGTTGATGCAGCAACTGGTCTTGTTTCAGATTCAATACCATTACCTGCAAAAGACAAAAACAAAACTTTCATCTTCTTCATCTCAAGATAAGGAAAAAAGAAGATAAATTCAAAAAAGTACCTAATAGCATAGTTCCTGGGTTTTCGTTTTCATCGTGCTGCTTCATTGAACTCCTGCAATAGATTAACACCGACAGAAACTCGAATCAGCCGTCAATTTATCTCGAAGCAGCATTATCGAAGCAGCGGGTTTTTGCCTGGAGAGAAGCTTAAGGAGAGCGACGGTGGAGAGGGATCCGATTAGAGCTCCGGCTCCGACGAGACTCAGATACTTTAATTTTTCTTCCATGACCGTTGAATTTTCTCACTCTGTTCCTTTTGCCTTTTTTCGTCCCCAGCAAAGACACGAATCGACGAGTTAAGGGTTTAGGGTTTAATTTATTTACTGATGAAATCAATCTTTCTCTGAATTAATAAATTTTGGTAAGCTAAAACTAAGAAAAAAAAAACTAAGAAATAGTTGGATATAAACCGACAATTTCTATAATTATACTGAAAATAAATTTTCAGAATAAATATAATAGGAAAGCTAAAAAATTTCTATCTCTAACATTTTTCATTTGAGTTTTTCAATTTTACTCTTACGAAAGTCTTTCTTTTTTTTGATCAACATGAAAGTCTTTCTAAATATTTTTTTTTTGTTAATGTTTCGTGATTTTTTTAGGAAGGTCTTCTAAATACTAGAATTTAACATCGTTTCATATGGTTTAGGAAACTTTCCTAAATTTTTTAAAATTTTCTATATTGTGGAAGGGTTTCATGAATTGTGGAAAAGCTTCTTGAATTTGAGTTGTATAAATTAACAAAAATAATAATCAATTATACGATTTACGAAGGCATTCTTAAATACATGTAATGACTTCATTAATTTATACATTTTAGAAAAATCTTCCTAAAAATTTAGAATATCTTCCTAAATTTACGCTCATCTCCTTCCTCACCTCTGCGACATCCAAACCCTAATTTCCGCGAATTTCTTTTCTTTTCACCGTTGTTATTGTTTTAGCTCGAGTTTCTTGAGTTTTTCACCCAATTATATCAGATCTATCTATCATTATATGATTTTGAGCTTTAAATCCCGAAATCACTTTCCCATAAAAAAACCCCAAAAATCTAAAAGATTCACAATCACAAATCACAATCAAATGAGAAGAGTGATCCTAAACAAAACAAATGATTTGATTTCAGATCAGTCTTGGTCATTGATACATTTGTTTGTACATTATTTTTCTTCTCTTTTTATTAACTAATGCTTTGTCTAACTAAGATTAATATGGTACAAAATGTTATGGAAGGAATTTTTTAGAGTGTTAGTGTATATATGGAACAAAAACTTAGATTATGTGCATTTGAGGGAATTTCTCTAATCTATTATATACAGAACTAACGCTTTTTGGAACTCGACAAAGAATCTAGTATTTTTGCTATGGTTAATGACATTCTACCTTTAATGGCAAATTCATGAATATGATCCTTTTTTACTACTGTTATCTCTCTTCCTGTTAACCTATGCTATCTAACTGATGTTTGCATAGATTTCTCGACTACAATTTTTAAAAAGTACTAGCTTATTGGTAATATTTTTACTAAGAATTATTATAAAATACAAAAGTTGGTTGCGAATTTTGATTTATCATTAAAAATGATTGATGTATGCATTGATAATTGTATGATTTTCTGAAAAGACAATAACAAGCTGTAGATATGTTAATTTCATAGGAAGCCAAGATATACTAATGTATATGGTACTTGCCAATCACTAATAGATTGAAGCGGTTATACCATTCAGAAAGAACGATGGTGGCAATGAGATAGCATGCACAACATTCCACAGAAGATGGAAAGGTTACACATCCGTCAAATGCAAAGGTGTAGAAACACTTTCAGACGGTATATTCAGACTTTGCTAATGGGTGTAAGAATGTCTGTCTTGGTTTATGCACTGATGGATTTAGTCTATTTGGTATGTATGGAAGACAATATTCTCTATGTCCTGTCATCTTGACACCATACAATATTCATCCAGATATATGCATGCAAAGATTTTGTTTGTTCATAAGTATTCTAGTTCCTGGTCCTAAGCATCCAAAGCGAATACTTAATGTATTCTTATAACCTTTGATTCGTGGGTTGAAGCAATTGTGGTATTTGGGTGTTCGCACGTTTGACAACTCGCAGCAGCAGAACTTCAACATGCACACAATGCTATTGTGGACCATCAGTGACTTTCCGACATACATAATGTTATCGGACTAGACCACGCATGAAAGATTATCTTGTCCATATTGTCTGGATAGGCCAGAGGCCTTTCAACTAAAGAATGGAATGAAGCCATGTTAGTTTGATTGTCATCATACATTTCTTCCGTTGAGTCATACATACCGGAGCAACAAGAGGTTGTTTACTATGAACAAAGTTGTGCATTTCCCGCCATCTGTTTATCATTCAGGGAATTATTTGTATGAGCAAATTGAATACTACAGTGCTCAGGAAACGTGTAAAGTTGGGGAAAACTAGCACACATCGGATAACATGCATGATGGATATACTATATCTCATAATTGGCATAAAAAGAGTATATTTTGGGAGTTCCCTTATTGGAAGGATTACATTTTACGATACAATCTTGATGTGATGTATATCGAGAAAAAGAATTTGGATAACATTGCAAATACAATCTTGATTGTGAAGGGAATGAGCAAAGAAAATTTGAAATCAAGGTTGGATTTGCCTGAATTATGCGTAAGGACCGAGTTGCATATTACAAAGAAGGGAAAATTACTTGTTCCAAACTTTCGATTGTCCGGTGAGGTGAAGCGGCATTATTGAAGTGGGTTGATTATGATATAAAGTTTCCGGATAGATATATGTCCAAATTCTCAAGATGTGTTGAGCAAAGCCAAAATTCTAAGGCATGAAGAGCCACGATTGCCATGTATTCATACAGCGACTGCTACCCTTCGCATTAACCGAGTTTTCACCGAAACAAAGCCACAAAGGAATTTCAGGTAAAATAAGAAAAGAAATATTGTTTTATTTTAAGTAATGAAGAATTTAAATGTTCTTTCAATAAATTATTAACATATATAATGGATGAACTTGTAGGCATTGGAGCATTTTTTCAGGAATTTATTCGTGCGAACATTGACTGAGAACGATATCACCTAATTAGAAGAAAATATCTCGATGTTGCTTTTTAACTTAGAAAAGGCTTTCTCACCTTTATTATTTGACGTCATGGAACATCTTCCAATCCATCTACACCATAAAGCAGCTCTAAGGGGGCATGTGCAATTCTGACGGATGTACCCGTTTGAGCGATTCATGGGACATCTTAAAAGAAAGGCTAAAAATCTCAATAAGGTGGAGGGATCGATTGTTGCAATATCCATCATAATCACAACAACAGGAGATATCATACATATTGATCCAATAAAACATTAACATTGAAGACACCGTTAATGATTCAACAGAAGGTGCAGGATCAAACGAGTTCAATGAGACCGATGAAGCAGAAGACGTTGATCAGCAAAGTGAGTAGTCCACTGAATCTGATTAAACATCTTTTCATATACTTGTATTTTAAAAAGTATTTGTAATTTTTTTTATAAAACTAAAAAAGCATTGCGATGGATTTGCGATGGGCAGTTGCAGTGTCGTTGCACATTGCAACCGACTGGCAACGGGCAGTCGCAGTGTCGTCACAAATTGCAACTGACTTGCAACGGACAGTCGCAGTGTCGTCGCAAATTGCAACTAATTTGCAATGGGCCATCGCAAATAAAAAACAGTTTCGATAGGGTTTATGGTTTAGGATTTTCTTAAACGATAAATTGTGAACTCACTAATGTTTCAAATGTATGATGCATCTAACATATAATTTCGTAAAATCATATGAAACAAACACATAGTGCAATATTGATGTAGTGAATGATAATAAATAAGTATGAAAGTTATATGATAATCAGTTTAAAACTTCTCTGTTAGACGGAAAAATTAACTCTGTTGACAGAATAGTAAACATTGTTAAACCCTTTACAAAACATGTTTATTATTTTATTATTAAAGGGTTTAACAGCGTTTGCAGATCTGTCAACGGAGTTAATTTTCCATTCAATGTTTGGGCGGTGCAAACTCGGGAGCTATTTTGACAGTTTAATATGTTAATTTTTGTATTTTGAAAGTTTAAAGTGAGAATGTCAAAATACGAAGATTTAAAGTGCTAGTGAATCCTACTTTGAAGGTTTAAAATGTGATTTTCCTGAAACTTATATATATATATATATATATATTTTTTTTTTTTTTGCAAATTTAACTATCTATTATGAAATTATAAGATGTATTTACGATATTGTAGATCCAAATATCAAACCGAATGCTTCTTTATATCTATTTTAGAATTTTAAAGATGTAAAACATTGCGATGGATTTGTGAGAGGCCATTGCATCTTTGCAAATTGTGACTGACTTGCAACAGCCATCGCAGTGTCATCGTAAATAAAAAAAACAGTTCTGGCATGGTTTAGAGTTTAATTAGGGTTTCTTGAAATGACAAACTTTGAACTCACTAATGTTTTAAATGTATGATGTCTATAACAGATAATTTTGTAAAATCATATGAAATATGAAGAGAAATTTTTTTGTAGTGAAATATTGATTTATAGTGAATGATAATGAATAAGTATGAGAGTTATATGTTAACCGTTTGAAATTTATATATGTATTACTAATAAAAGTTGATGCTAAATGCCTTTAAGGGTGTCCACATAGGATTTAAAGATTCAATTCTATTGGTACACATTATCATTATTTTTAGTAAATTATATATTGTATATTAAAATTAACTAATTTCTTTTAATTGTTATAAGGAAAATTTCTAAATTTTAATTAATTTTTTTTTTGTTATTAGGAAAGTTTCTAAATTCTAAGTTAGTTATTAATAAAAAAGAGTTTTGAAAATAGATCTTATTTTTCTATTAACAATGAAAGGTAAATTAACATATGAATAGATTATGAAAGAAAAATCATATATATTGAACAAAATTATTAAAAACTATATTTAAAACCATAATTAAATTATTTTAAAATTTTAATAACGATAAACAATTAAAATCTGAAATGCTAACTTAAAATATATTATTTATGATCTGTGTTGATGTTTTAGGCCAACGAAAGCGTCCACATAGGACATATATACTCAATCTGAGTCTATATCAGCATTTTTCATTAAACATTAAACATAAAAAATATTATTAATAATTTAAATAAATTAAAACATACAAAATATAAAATTATCACAAAATAATGGAAAATTAAGATAATTTTCTTTAACTAAATAAAATAAATTTATGTCAAAAATTTAAATCTATTGTGAAAATAAAATGGAAACTCAATGTCACAGAAACTAAAC